CATCATCTACATTATGCAGAGTATACAGCTTGGTACGCGTCTGGTATAAGAGGTAAAGTCTATTATACAATTTGTCTATTATGTACAATTGTGTGAGCGTTATAGTTGTAAGAATTAATCACAATTGAATTTCTTCTCAAATTTGACTGTAATCGATAAATTCTTACAACGATTTACAACATGTTTACGCAAATGTAGAATTACGGGAATTAAAAGCAAGAAATTGAACAATCCCCATTGTTTCTTTCACATTCAATTTAATTCTTACTATACATCAAGCTTATCTAACGTCCACAAATATTTTGACAAATTTGCCTATAGATAACGCTAAAGATTGAGCGATGCGAATGCATGTTTATTGCGCTTGCTTAGTCATCTATTTATTGTCACTGTTATCGTTTGAATTTACTTTGTGTAATCTGTATTTTGTGATCATTATTCTATAAATCTTGAGAGCGTAAGTATTTTGACAAAAATGTCTTCTTATTCAATAATGAATAGTTTCTTTTTTGATTTTATTGATTTCATCGGATTTTTGATAAAGTAAAGAATTGTTTTTACGTTAGATACAAAAATGCTAAAGCAAAAGAAATATTCCGTAGAAATTAGAGAAGCTGTGATTACACAGTTCTTAAAAATCAGGTCAAAGTCAATCTCAGATTGCAGAAAATTTCAATCTTACGAGGCAAATTGTCAGCGTGTGGAATCGTCTACGAAACAAACGGGGAGTAGTAGTAAATAGATTTGCGTTCCAATTGTCAGTTCAAGAAAAAACTAGCTAGATTTATGTATGCAAATGTCGTTTATAACATATTGATTCAATTACGTTCGGACACGACAAGCGAGACCATCGTGCTTGATAAAAAACGATAGTGTTAGATGAAACGAGAAATCGTCCTCGGGAGAAAATTATTCAAATTGCCGATGAACTCTGAGACTCCGGCAGAGCACTCTACTCTCCGCGTGTATTGTAACAAGTACGTAGAGACGAAGTGAAGTGCTACCTATGCACGAGAAGTCGAATAACTAACGTAGAACGTCGTGGGATCGTCTTCGTGCGACGAAGATTTCTCCACGACGTTTATAATTAAGCGGCGCGACCACTTAGCAGTGAGAGAAAATAGGTTTAACATCGCAGAGTGCATTTGGTTACATCGTAATGCGAGAGAAAAAGAGAGATCTACATGACGGTTTTATCCTGTCGCGTGAGATGCATTTTATCTCTCTCGTAGGTGCGCAGGTACATTCTGAAATATAACGGTCATCGATGGAACCGGAAATAAGGGGCTATCTCATTGCGACGCGCTATCGTGGAAAGATCGCTGATTACAGTGATTAATCCTTAAGCGGACGCGCGACACTTAATTTGTGATTACGGCCGACTATTCTTTCAGTACTGTTGCTATTGTTCGAGCTTATACACTTGTGCGTAAATACATAACGCTAGCGCTCTTGTATGAAATCTGCCCTAAATGTCCGTAATTATCGAGCGCTGTTAAATTCTTTACGTTGTTTGCGCAGTCTCTTATTTGGAGTGTATATGCTAATTGACATAGCAGGAAACAGCGTAATTCGTTGCTTGGGAATAAAAGCTTAGATAACGATAACGATCAAGTTCTTTCCGTTATAGAGAACTCACGATAAATTAACGTCCACCGTATTCGATCTTTATTTCCGGTCATTCACGAATACCACTACGATTATTATCGAAGACCCTTAGACAACTCACGCAGATTCCCAGGCGCGCTCTCGTAAAGAAACAACTATAAAGGACGAGTCGACACACAAGGCAAGCGATCCTGATGCGGTCGGGTCGCACGGATAAAAGACATTTCTTTCGCGAGGAGAAAAAGGCGACGCGACTGCAGGAAGCGAGAGGATCGTCACCGTGTCATCTTGGGAACAAAATGAACGGATGAGCGAGGGCTTCAACTAACAATAAGATATGGACATTATGGACCGCTCGGTCGGGGCAACGAGATGAGAGCAGGGCAGGTCCGGAGATACATCCGTTTGTTTTAATCGCTAATCACCAATTATCCAGAAGCGTTCCGCGCCCAAAACCCCCAGAAGCATTTTAACGAGCCACTGTGTCGTTCGGGCTCGGAATTTTACTTCGGTCCAAGCCTGCTCTCTCGATGGGCTTCTATACCGAGCGTCCGCACGGAATATATCTCTCGTCCTGCTCCGTGGCTCATCCTGTTCACTCTAGCTGTCGTCCGCCTATCTCGCTTTGAACCGCGAACGCGTGTGTGTGAGCGCGCGCCCGTACCAATTAGTGCATACTTTAGCTCTCGGTGTCTTAGGAACCCTTCGGGGGGGTTCTGCTGCTCCCTCCGAAATTTGCGGAATGAGATCCCCATCCCAAACGGTCGAGAAATCTCGTTGGCGGAATTACTCGCCGCTCCGACGATTGATTCTCAAATGAAGAAAATAGTTTAAGATATAGCTACGTGTTTCATTGAGCTAAATTAAAAACAAGAACGAAATTACCGCGCATAATGTTCATCATCCATAAGATAAAATAGATATTAATTTTTTGTACATATTTATGGATATAAGGTGGTTCTGATCACATCGCACTCATGATGGATCTTTCAAATTGATGTGATTTCGAAAGCGAGAAAAAACGTAAAAATTCTTACACAATATATTAAAATAAAAACATTTTTTAATAAAACTATATTTGTATTTGATAGAATATCTCTCGTTTTATTTTAAAGTAGAAAAAAAATTATATTTATTTTAATTCGAGAACTGCGTTATATACCTAGCTCTTGTTTTGTTCATATATTATATTTATCAAAATTATTAGCTGTGATATATTTTATAAATATAATTCATTGATTTCAAATGTTGTTTTATTAAAAAATACTCACATTTTTAACATAATTTGTAATAATTTTCATTATAGGTATATTTTTCTCATTTCTGATGGTGTTATCCCATGCAAACTGATTAGGTACAATGAGTAGATAGGAGCAGCTTAATAACAAACACTTTTTTAACAGAGATTTGATTCTTTGGTAAAAACTTATTTATGACAAACGAGCGCATCTTTCTTTTTCCATTCATTTTATTTTCATATAAATGAAAAGTACGATGAACGGCTTGTTTTATAATATCTTGATCGATACTGCAATCAATCGATTGGTTATGCTGCTCTCCTCTATTAAGAATAATTGTTTCGAATATCCTCACGAATTTTCCAAGTTAATAAGCATACGTGGGCGTTCGCGAAATCGTTTCTCCTAATGAAGAATATGGAAAGCATGAATTTGCGAGGGTGTCTTTCTCGCAGGTTTTCGTAACGGTTCTAACAGCATCTTTCGTACCGCCGACCTTAAGTATATACCACCTTGGGAGCTAGGTAATAACTGCCAGTGTGGAATTAGAAACGCCGAAGAGTCGCGCGGATATAGTGGATGGGATGTACGTGACCGTAAGTTGATAGGTTTTTTCTTCGTTCGCACATGCGGAAGAAACTGAGCGGCGAGGTGGTATTTTAAAATCGAATCTTCGTATATTAAGAAAACATTTTGTACGCGACGTCGATTAAATTCATCTTCTTTGATCATTATCTCTCAAGTTTCTTTCAATAAAGATTCAATTTGTTCCATACTTAAAATTCAAGGAAATGATCGGCGAATCTGTGCGTTAATTGCGGTGACGGGGCAACGCGAATAAACTCAAATTATGGCTCGAATTATTACAATTAGGTACTGATTACCACGTTGAAAGAAACCGCGATTCTACTGTTATTTTCCATCTGTCAACCATCCACGATACTTTTAAACCTCCAAATTTTCGGCAAAAAATTCTACCGTTGTGCACAATATTGTGTGTCCGGACATTCAAAACTTTTGCTACAAAATTATTTCAGTTATTTCAACGAAAATGTCACAACAACTTGATTAAATCTATCTCATTAATCGTACAACATAGTTACAACTCGTGTCCACTTCCCCAGAAAGAGAAAACCCTCGAATTACATCATGTCTTGTTTCGGTGGTCACGACGAGCAGATCTACCTAGTCGAGATATTGATCGATAAATTGACTTTGACGCCCGATAAAATCAAAGACATCGGCGAACACCCTATCGTGATCAAGATCAAACTTTTAGACTTTCCCGTGTTTGAGTTCACGCGAGACGACTCGGACGCATCGAAACGTGGTCAAGATGTGCGTTTTATGATTGGTAAATGCTGCCTATTTGCTAAGCGACCTCGAGATTTGGTACAAGGACTACGTTCGTCGAGTCTTAAGATCGGCGTGTTTCGTGCGGACGAGACTTATCCCACGGCGGAGGCCGAAATGACTCTGCCAGGCTGTTTGTGCGACCAAATCTCGATGCTCGGTAATGATCCAGAAAATCAGCCGAAACCGTTTATGGTGAAGGGCGGCATCCACCTGGTGGATCCAGGCGAAGAGCCGTCTGGCACGCTGCATATGGAACTCATCGTCGCATGTCTCGGACGTATCTTCAAGACGCATTACGAGTTGCGGCCGAAATCTTTCGTTTCCGGCGAGCAGGACAAGGAACGGGAGATTTACGTGACGCGATTTGTACCGCCCGAGTTTCTCGATGAGAAAATCTCCAAAGATGTGGTACTGCAGGAAATTACTCCAGAAAAACCGAAAGTTAAAAAAGCAAAAGCTAAAAAACCGAAAGCTAAGAAAGCAAAGAAAGGTAAAAAGAAGAAAGGTAAAAAGAAGAAAGATTAAAAAGTGATTTCTGTATAGATATTTCCCAACACAGCTTTGAAGTGTGACTTTTAATAATTATTTTCGATTCGTCGTCATGGCAACTATTTGACAACTAGAAATGTCAATTGATCTGTTGACACGCGCGCGGAGAGATCGTTCGATTTTAGACCCAAAACGCTCGCTAAATTAATGGCGCAATTCGTACAGAGACATCGTTAACGTCAATTCGAAGTCACTTTCTAAATTTGTCGTGTGGCCGACAACGTGCGCGTATCTTTATTTCGATTCACTTTTGAAATGGCCTTGAAGAAAAATATGTCAATATTAGAGGGAGAACAATTGTACGTGCTTGAAATTCTTATCGATCATCTAAATCTATGTCCAGAAAAGATTGTCAGTAACGAAGGGTGCGATTTGATGATACATATAGGTTTCGTCGATCTTAAACCTATCGACATCGTCGTTCAGGAATCAATCAAGGTTAATGGCGGAACAACTAGGACTGCTAGAAGTAAAGAAAATGGATTTTCCAACGAGTACATCAGTCACGAAGGCAAGACATGTCTACTCGTTCGGACACCGAGCAATTTAATACGATCCGTAAAATCGACTCCTCTCAGCATCGAAGTGTATAGGATTTCTTTCGAGGAGGACCACAATTCGCGAGATGATGCCAGATTTGTTCTCTTTTGTGCAGCAACGGCATTTTTGCCAACAAGTTTTTGCGATCGCATAACTGCGGCCAAAAATAAGATAGATGGACTATCAAAATCGTACGTGTTGACAAGAATTTATACTTTGACCGATGAACATGGGAATCCGTGTGGCTCTATATTCATGTGCATGAGGCTGTCGTGTTTTGGAAGCTCCATTATAAATCATCTTACGCTTCACGAGAAGTCATTTGTATTGCGAGGATTTCCTCTCGGTTGGAAGTTTTCTTGCACGAAACTGCCCGATGAAAGTGAAAACAACGAGAAATGTATGAAAAAATCCGACAATAATACATCGTTATTGTACAAAATTCTCGATCCTACATACTCCTCAAAATTGTACAACCAGGACGATCGTACAGAGACAGAATCCGCCGTGTTGACGAGACCGGAATCGCCGCCTCGCATATCAATGAATCAGCCAGGATTCGAAAGATTAACGAGCGCCGAGAAATTAAACGATCACAAGTACCGTGGTTTAATTTACGAGATCTATCATAACGAGCCGACTTGTTCGTGTCTACCGACAGACCGATCGACGCATCCAATGATGTGTCGTTCCGGGTGTGTCCGTTCTTGTTGCATGGCTTTAAGAAATCCCGATTCTCTCAAAAAGTTTCCATCGCTTACTACGCTTGCTTCCGATAATTTATATTTAAAATCAGATCTGGAGCAAAACGTGATGGATCATGACTCTACGAGACTTGGAGGTGGTGAAGACACAGAGGATAATTATTTGAATAACCAAGCGTGGGACGAAGAATACAGACGGCATGAGAATGATATTAATTTAAAAAATCGTATGATGGGTGGAAGTGATTATGGTGCATCAGCTTGTGAACTTTCCGAAGCAACGACCGTCACATATGAGAAGAGCAAGAAGGGAACGGGCGCTAACTTACCCTGTAGATCTCGACCGAGAACAGCGGACGGAATTAAAGGAACAGATTGCATTTGTCCTGCGGGGAAAGCTCCATCGCCTTGGAAAACAAACGCGTCTAGATGCACGAAAAGAGCGTGTGTAGGTGCCGATTGTATGATTCGCGCCTTCAAAGAGGTCCAAGAATTCGTGGATTCTCTCGGTAAGGTGCCGGGTATGGAGGGTCTTGGCTTGATGGATCCATCCGAAAGTCCTTATTTTGGCCGAGAGATTACACAGAGAGATTACACGATTCGTCAAGAAACGCCAGGCGAGAGAAGACGAGGAGGATACCCGATCTCAGCACCGCCAGCAGTTCAGTGTCCCGCGCCTTGCAACACGCAGATTGGTAAACCCACCACTAGTACTGTCTCCGCACCTTACCTCGCATCTACTTCCATAATGACAGCAGTTCCAGGACGCATTGGCGTAGTACGCGAGGCGATACCGTGGTTATCAGCGGAAACGACGTTACTCCCGATCGCCGTCAAGCCATCGAAGAAAAAGGAGGACAAGAAGGAAGAGAAATTTGAAAAGCAGAAAGAGCTGGACATCGCGACCTCCGCGCCGATAGACGTCGACGTTGGTCCTTGCGGTGAACCGAAATGCAAATCTCGCCGGAAGAAAAAGGACGATCGAATAGTGCAACCGCACGACCTTGAGGATACGCATCAGATGAAGCCAATACGGACGATACCATCACCTGCCATCGCTGCGAAGCGATTCATGCTGGAAAAGGAACGATATCCGAAGGGGATGAAGCCAGGTCCGAGTGGGGACAGGGGTCCTGTCAAGGTTAGCAGACGAGTGATGCGATACGTTTACTCTATCGGCGATGTCTATCCTGGGACTAATTACGGCCATAAGAATTGCATCGATCCACGGTTCAGGGTGCCGGCTAACATGGGCTGGCTGTGGAACACGAGTGCAACGGTAGGCAAGCTCAAGCCGCGAATCGGCTGGAAGCCAGGCGCGATCGGGCGTTACTTGAATGAATTATTGAAGGAGGCGAAGGGAGCTTCTATGGAGGATCATCGGGCACTGAGGTCGATACCCTCGCGCACCAGCTTGCGACGCGGCAAGGTGTACAAGAGCATGAGCTACGTGAGCTCGCCGGTGAAGAAGGAGAGCGAAGAGGACGCGGAACCGCCACCGACCCTGCACATTCACCGTAAGGATGGCACGTACTACGTGACCATGTACCCGATCAGGCAGGAGACGACCGCGGACGTATCGCAGCTGGAGGAGCCGATGAAGCCGCTGCAGTTCAAGATAGTGCGCAACAAGGATGACGCTTCCGTCGCGTCGAGCTCCACCGCCTCGGATATGGAAATCGAATTCTCGCCGCCGGCAGCGGTCAACAGGTACCGCAAGAAGCCCGACGTGATTCACGTGGACACCCAGGTCAGGCAGCAGGAGATTCTCGATGCGTTCAAGCTGACGGTCGACACGCCGAAGACGAAGAAGGAGAAGGAGAAGAGAGTCAAGAAGGAAAGGAAGGGAAAGAAGTAACGAGAGATCGTCCTTCCTTTTCTTCTCCCTTCGCGCGCTCATTATCCCCCCAACACGATCATGAAAGAGAAGCAGCTTTATCGAAGGTTTGTATCTCACCGAAAATTTAAGTGCGCTGCACGTTCTGCGACCGGTTATGTTATCCCGATCCTAATTTTACGCGACGCGTTAAATTCGATTACGTGCAACCCATACTTTTCGTAAGTTCACTCGGCTAATTGCGAGAATAATTTGTGAAGGAGAGAAAAGATGAAATGCGATTACATCCCTCGTAAATTTAATATTTCGCTAAAATGACCGATATTACATGTACTTAATAAAGAGATGGAAATTCTTATCCAAGTATAATGTTTATTTTTAATTCTTTCCAATTCGTCCTCGCAATCAATTAGTTTGTCCAAAAGATTTATTATTTTCATTGTGCAAAAAAATAGCATTGTACTCGAGATCATTTCAGACACGCGTAATTATATGTCTGTCTAAATAATCCAGTCTATTGAATATTATTTACGAAATCTGCAGTGTCGCGTGTGTAGAATATGTAATAGGAAAGCAAATTTTATGCAGATTATGCATGTTTCTACGCAGATGTAGATTAATTGTAATCTCGGTTTAATTTTTTTTTCCTTTTCTAATTAATGTGCAATGAAAACTAAATAAAGAAAAGGTAATTATTGAGTCTAGAATAGAATAGAAACAGATTGATAGGACATTAGTCAAGTTCGTATTAATTAAGCCAGATTGATCGCACCGGATTGAAAGCATAATTGAGACAGAGTTAATGAAATATTCGGAATACATATAATTCGGTCTCTCTTTCTCTTTCTATTTGTACATACGGCAAATTCACGCAGTGCTTGCGATTCATTTGATACTGTAAGCGACATCTATGGACAGTGTGGCTTATACGTGTATAAAGTTTCCTATCGTTATCAACGGGAGTTAAAGTTAAGGGAAGGTCTACTCGGTGCTCTTCGTACTCCCGGTATTTTGACAGGAGATGAATGTCACGTCACAGGATGAGAGGAATCAGGTTGCGCGTAAAAAGATGCTTGATCTGCACGATGTACGTGTAGGAAAAGTCCCGCAGGACTCGCCGTGGTTGAGAAGCGTCCGCTTGCAATACATGCACGATGGTCAGTCCAAGAATTGGGACGTGATAAGGATTCACGACAGCGTGTGTATAATCGTCTTCAATACAAGTCGAAGGAAGCTCGTATTTGTTAGACAATTTCGGCCAGCAGTGTATTACGCGTCCCTACCGGAGAATCAGGAGGTGATCGACGTCGAGCGTTATCCCGCGACACTAGGGATAGCTTTGGAACTTTGTGCTGGTATCGTGGATAAGGATAAACCTCTCGTCGAAATTGCAAAGGAAGAGTTGAAGGAAGAATGTGGTTACGAAGCACCCACTTCATCGTTTAAACAAATTATTACCTACCTGTAAGTCTGAAATATACTTGTAATACGCTCTAGTCATATTGACTTTTGTCGTTATATGTTACTTAACTGATGCTGTTTATTAAGTTTAGAAGCAATGTTTCTTTATACATACATATAATTATTTGTCCGAATAAAATAAATTACGTAAGTATTAAAAAAAGTGTAATTTTGTTTTCTAGATCTAGTGCGTCTGCTAGTGCAAAGCAAACTCTTTTCTACGTGGAAGTTACCGATGACATGAAGATACACCCTGGTAAGTTCAGTTGTGAAATGTTTTTTTTAAGTAATGCTTTATCAAAGTAGTTTCAAAGAATATTTTCTTGTAATATAATTGACTTTTAAAAAATAAACCATTTTTCAAAAATATATAACATTTTTAAATAAAAGTACATTGAGAAGAGTTATGAGCCAATTATAATTTTGATACTTAAAACAAAAGATTTATTGTTTGTAAATAACAATTAAGCTGAAAATATAAATAACAGATGTTTCGACTCCGATCGGATATTTATCAATGTTGAGTATATAATATATTAAAACGGTTAAACGATAAAATAAAAAGATTACAAATCAACTATGGTCTTAACGCAAATTGAATACAATTTTAATTTTTAATCCAATTTGAATATTTTATTGTCAAAGGTGGTGGTGATGAGTCCGAAGGTGAAGTCATAGAAGTGGTTGAATTAAGCGTACCTGAGCTGAAGGATTACATAAGAACCAAAGAAGTACAGAGTCCCTCCAGCTTCCTTCATGGTGTATCTTGGTTCCTGCTTAATAAATCCGAGTACTGTTAAATAGAATAAAATTAAAATTTATCTTGCTCGGGCATCTAAAATAAATTAAAGAATGGCAAATTAATTGCAAGTAAAACCAAATGTTATTGTTCAACCGCGTTTATTTACAAATAGAGCATTTATACACAAGCAATGACGAGATAGTTGCAGAATTTAAGTTACATAAAATGACAAGGTGACTGACATTCAATTGGTATTCAGTTCATCTTTCGTGAATTGAGAGCTAACCCATGCAAGACCCCATTTTAAATTTGTCAATAGGAACTTTAAGGCCTTGGTCCACTGTTCTTCCGAATTGAATTGTATTCTGAAAAAAGAAAAGAGAAAGATCAAATACTTGTTGTATTATAAGTAAATCTCTCATGTGAAAATTAGACTAAAAATATTTAACAACACTCAAACATACTTTATGGAATAAGAGTTGCCTGTTGCAGAGTCTTCGATTTTACCTCGATCCATTCTATATGGCAAACAAAATTCACTGTCTCCTTTTTCTACTTGTTCTTTAAATTGTTGCAAACAATCCAGAAATGCTACCATAGCTGCATCAAATTTTGTGTCCCATAAAAATTTAAATCCTCCACTTCCATACAATGGAAGTTCTTTATTTTGATCCAAAGCCTCAATATAACTGTGATTGCCAAATGGCACTAAACGAAAACGCTTGAACGTTAAATTCATTTTGCGCGCAAGAGCCACTAGCAAAAGGGTTGTTTGTCCCCATGCGGCATTTATCTCGCTCCAATCCACTGGTGCACTCGGTAATCGCCCTAATCGAAATGAATTTATAGTTCCAAAGTGACCTGAATGCCAGATGTGAAATGTGGCGTTAAAAACGTTTGTCTTCTTCAACCTTTCCAGTTGCAAAGCTGCATACGACAGTTGATTGTCCAGACTACGAAAAAAGAAACAAAATTTTGATTTTACATATAATAGAAATAAAAATATTAATAAACAATCGTTTTATTTGAAAAACAAAGATAAGTGTGTTTTGGAATATTTTATCTACCTGCGACATTCATCGTCAGCTAACATGAGATCTCTTCTGTGTTTCGAATATTCTTTCCAATACCTGTCCTCCTCACTTTGCAATCTCTCTTTTTCCTTTTCCTGTTCCGCTATGGCATTTCTAGTAGCTATTTCTTCTTTTCTCAGTGCCTCCAGTTCCCTTATCAATCTTTCTTCTTCAGCTTTTACATCCTGTAATTCTTTTGTGAGATTCTCCATTTCTACATCTTCGTGTCCCTGATATTGTTGCTCAATTTCTAGTTTCTTCAGGTATTCATTATAATCTGACCATTCTCCTTCTGTCATTCGTAACTGTTGATCCATTAGTAGCAAAAGGCTATCCGTACATTCATCGCAAAGTGGATGATCTGCCGAACTGCTACTGCTGAGAATATCAAATAACGTTGCTCGTACCTAGACAAATACAAATCAATTTGTAGTTACAATTTGAAGATATTTTTTTAATTTTATCTGTATACCTTTAGATGATGACTTAAGCTTTCTGTTTCACCAGAATCACCAACCAACATAAATCCATTTGTACCATTTCCTGATTCAGTTAACCTGAATGGTGGAACCAAGTGTTCTATACTGTCACTTTGAGGTTCCAATTCTCCAACAATTTGTTGTTGTATAGGAACTACAATAAAATAATAATTATAAACTTAGTTATACCCGACAACTGCAATAAATTATACTTGTATTCTGTTGTTAGACTTTAAATATATATAATCAACAGCTAACATAGTTTTTTTTTGTGTACTGAATGATAGCGAGTGAGTAAAGTTTAGATAAATGTGTCATGTAAAAGTCATTGTTTACACATGGATACACAATGTTAGCCGCATTTATTAAAAGGGTTCGTGCTTGCTACAATATTAGGAAAATTCAGATCATTCTTGAAAATATGGATTAATGCGTCACACACATACACACACACACATTAGTCATAAGCATCCATTGTATATATAGAAGCGTTATCAACACGAAGTGGAGCAATCGTGATGAATGTCGAAGTCGCCAGTAGAAAATAGAAATTACCTACGTGAGAGTTCTGCCAGGGTATGCTCCCCAAGGTGGTCGAAACTCGAGTCTAATTTCAACGGTTGCAGACACCGTTGGCATGCGAAACTGACGTTCGTCTTTAAGTCTACCATATCGCGTGTACGTCGCTTATCGAAGAAAGCTGCTCTCCATGCGCGTCGTTATTTACGAATAATAATGAATACGCGTCTACTGCTGTCGACGACGCTGAGGTCAGCTGATGATGCCTTGTCAAGCAACCATCAGTTGGCGCTGTTATATCATCGTCGTGTCGGTATTTGTATCTTTATCGTTTTTCTTATTATACATACTTTCATCGCTTTAATATCATATAGAGAATTAACTATTACACGCAAGAAAATTAATAGATAACGTTTATATACTTATATTTTTATGTAGGCATAACTTTTCTGAAATTTATCGATAGATAACTATTCATGGTATCTATTGTCGATAAGAATATCACGTTTTTATAGTTATTCGATCTCTCAAATGAGAGATTGCTGATATATATTTGTGAGAAGTCTACCAATTAAATATTAATAAATTAATATAAATAAATAAATAAACGATAATTTCTCGATTGATAATATTAAACAAACACCTGCTCTCGTCTAGCTTCTTGAATTCACGCGCGCCATCTATGATCAGTTTGCTGCATCGATATGTAAAGTTGTATCTAAATTTGAATTTTCTAGACGCGCAATGGTTTTCGCGCGCGCGGCGGTTAATGGAGTAGTGATAAAAGTGCTCCGCATTTTTCGTAATCGTTTTACGTCCGGGAGCGGTTTTCGTGTGTTCATCGTGTCGCGAATGCATCTTGCAAAGTGTTGTACGTTCATAAGTTACTTGAATGTGATCGTTGTTATACGCTAGTATCGTGATTTCGACATCGCCACTCCGCGTCTGTGCGTTTAGAAGGAACGGAGTCACCTACGCCATATTTCGTTATCGCCATTTTTCGCCAAAATTCAGCAAAGACAACAGTTGCCGTACAATTTGCAGGGTATGTATTTATCACTGTACTTTAGTGTTTTCGTAGCACGGAAAATTTGTTTCTGAATATGATTTATCATGTCAGAGTCGATAGTTCGTCAAATAAACTTCGTGCAATCGTAACGTGTTGCTGTAATGATGAATTCTTTATAAATCAATACTTCTATTTACGTAATTAGTGGCAAATGATCAGTCCCTGCATCTATCGCTTTGTATTTGTCCTGTTAAAGGCGCGAAATCGCCTTTAATTAATTAATTTACAATAATAAGTGAAAATTGACCGATGAGATTAAATATACCTATATATACACGAATGAAAAAGACGCCATATATTTGTGTAAGGCGATACTTTGTGCCTAATAATATTTCTTACGAATTTATTGAATTTTCAGTTCAAGCCAACTGTGCGTCGATTATTGATCTTTCTTGAAATGCAATCCTAAGTCGCAGTTGGAGTAGTAATATTATTAAATTAAATTGACGCGCAATTAAATATTATTGCTGCAAATAAGCGTCCTAGACTGAAAGCTATTAATGATTTGATACTAACACACATTTAAAAAATTGTAAACAATTTATTGCGAAAAATATTACCTCAGCTAGGATTAAAAATACATTGAATTTTTTAAATTTTGTGCGACCATATAATATTATTGTTGATAAGTCTATTTGCATTGCTTGGGCTTTCTGCACTTGGTATTATCGTTTTCTCTCTCTCTCTCTCTCTCTCTCTCTTCAACACTTGACATATGTGTGTTTATCTCATTTCAAGTATAAAATTTTTAGGAGCTTTAAGCAAACAGACCTTATATGATATAAAATGGATGCAATCGATAGAATCACGTGTGTTCAGGATCAATTGTAACTTCTTTTCTTTCTATATAAATATATTGAGAATATAATCGCATATTACTGATAATTTTTAAGTGAATTTATTAAAATTTATGTTCAATCTATACATTTTTACGTATATTTAAAGTTTCTATTTTTTGTTTGAAAATTGAAAAATTTTGTTGTCCAATTTTTGCATACTGTAAGCCGATGCATGTTATTGCGATATTACCAACTATCGACTGTTTTTTTAATTATTTAAATTATTTTTTTTAAAAACTTATTTGCAAGACTTTATATGGGGAGTAGTTGATTATTTTATTATAATAATCAGTTATAATAACTGAACACACACTAAAAGAAACGTACAGTTATCATTTAAAGGTAAACATTTTGTAATATTTTTAATATTTTTAGTTTGAATAAATTTATTATATACAATGAAAAGTTTAATGTTTTATATAAGTAATTATTAATGTATTTAAAATTAATTTTTACAGGAGACTGAAAATCTTCAGATCATTGAGCTACTTTCAAGTTATACAGAGGGTGCTCGGTGAGTACCAATTAAATGCTGCACTCTGGTGGTGGTGAATTTACACAGCTTCAGCACTAGCAAATCAAGTTATTATATTTTTTTTACTATTTAGTCAATTATATATTTTATTACTTTATAGTGGCTCTTTAAATTTTATATTAAAACAAATTTGTCTAAAAAAGATGCTTAAATTAGAATTATATTTTTATACGTGTAAAACATTTTAAATTGATAATTAAATGATCTTTTTTAGTATAATTGCTCATATCGTAAGTTTAAAATATCACAGAGAGAAAACAAAAGATTTATTTTAATAAACTTTCTTTGTCTAATTAAACGTAAATAAGTTCTCGAAGTCTAAACAAAATGCGTCGCAGTTATAGATTTACTTGTGCTATTGTTTGCATGATTTAACGAGATTACGTTGCATCTTTATCGTCTTAAATATGCATCATTATACGCAGAGACGTTCGAAATCCTCTTTTGCTTAACTTTAGATTTTATATGACGTGCGAAAGAATGACTTGCCAATGACAAAGAGCACGATGGAAGTTGAAATTTATATGACGGCCGGTAGCTGTAGGCCCCAATTGTCATGTACAAGTTTATGTTAATGTTGACGAGCGTTTTAAGCGATATTTCGTCACGTATGCATAAATATCGAGTGACTGCCAAGAATCAACAGGTGGCAGCTCGTTTCTGTTTCTTCGCTCGTGCTCTCACTCGCGCGCGATATAACTTGAGTTTCACGCGTATTCATCACCCGACGCCCATTAGCCAGTGCGCGCAATAACAATCGGCGTTTTCCAAATGTAATCGCGCGAAGCTTACTTCTCTAATAACGGCTATGACCTCCATCGCTTTCTTGTCTACCGCCGATGAATTATTATGCGAGAGAGCTTTTTACCGGTGCGCTTTCTACCGCTCCGTACGCTCCGGAGAAGCGCAACGAATCGCCGACTCACAAGCACGTCGCTCACAACCGTCGCTATCTACCTCGTCGAATACCTTCTCTCTTTCTCCTGTATAAATGTTGTCTGAGATTTAATGCAAAACTAAAACTGATGTTTAACAAACCAGAATCCAACTACTCTCTCTCACCTGGAATTTAATTCGAAGATAAAAGGAGAACAATTTTAAATACATGCGACTGCATGAGCTCAACTTTTTTTAGCTATACATCTTGAGATTTAAAATAGAAATTTGATAAACTTGATCTTTTTCAACTCTTGGTTCAACTGTAAGCTTTGAGAAAGCATACAGCACTAAAATATTTCGATTCGATGGCTCTTTCAATAATACAAAACGATTAACTGAGGTTAAATAAAAGAATTCCATTGATCCCTTGGCACGATTGTACTAATTAATCATCGCGTAAGGCTTATTCCATTACTGCGTTTCTCTACCGGCTGTAGTATACTTGCTAAAGAAACTAATGCAAATTGCATTAGGAAGTTTAATTACTTATCGGGAGCGAGTTTCGCA